TTTTTTGTTATGCGGTAATATCTCTTGCATTTACTTATTTCGTAGTTATTTTGTAAACACATTGACATGGGTGCCTGACCTGTGGGTGTTCATACCAATTCAAAAGCATTCACGGGCTTATATACAAATGTGTCAGAGTATTGGTGCTTGTGCTGCGTTGAATTTTAAAGAGCACTGTTTTCAATTAAAATCTAATAACAACAAAAAAGAGAGAAATAAAAACAAAATCTATGTAAAACGAAACAAAAAGTGAAATGCCAAAAATTAAAAATAAAAACTCTTTTGTGAAGATGAAACAAAGAAAGAAAAACACAAATGTGTCCAAACATTACACTAACTTACAACTAAGATAAATTGTTTGTCATCTCCGGGTTTTATTATATTAGAATTTTATGTTAACTCAGTAATCTTAGTACTCTAATGGGCTTGTAACTTTTGCTTTAACTTTTAAAGACATAACAGAGTAGCTGGTTTCTGGCTCCTACTCAACTTTGGGTGTATAATAACGCTTCTATGTTTTAAATTGTTATGTACCACTCTAAAGAAATCGATAAATGTGGACCGATTTAATGTAAGCTTGATACGCATCATTCGGTTTCCAAAATCTGTTTAAAATTTAATTTCAATTGTATAAACGTTGGAAATTTTCATGAAATCTTATATAGGGGAGCTATAATTAAATCTGAACCAGTTCCAAAAAATTTTAATGCAAGTCATTCCACCCTCAAATGGTACGTTATGTTAAATTGTATATGCGACAGTCTCGATATGGCTCCCACATATATTTTTGTCCGATTTAATATAAAGTTGTGTGATTGTGAGAAAATCGGAAACTATTTAAATAACATCGTTGTTCTATGTTCAATTCGATAAGTTGTACAAATTTGGTTGCAATGGGAGAAACAATGGGATATTGGTGCAAAATTTACATAAAATCGATGGAGAATATACATGAGAGCTAAAATTAAACCTGATCGGATTTAAAAATAAACTCATTCTGGGCTAAATTAGTGAAATGTGCCAATTTTCACAAATTTCCATAGGGTTTGCCATTGGACCAAATAAATAGGGACGCGGCAAAGAGGTCAACCACATACTGTTATGTTCCGATGGTATCTTCTATCTCAGAAAATGAAGATTTCACATTTAGACACCTTGGTCAGAAATTATGCCTTAAAACTGTGGAAGTTTTGCGAAGCATTCCATATTCTCTGAAATCCGAAATGCCTATTTCTAATAATCAAATCAAATGTATGAATAAATGGTATGTGCACTTTTTTCATTGCAAAGAATTACTTTCCACCAAGATACTGTAATACCAGATTATAGTCATTTCTTTGATAATATTGAAATACCCAAAATCGGTGAAGACTAAAGTTGGAAACACATAAGAGAACTTCATAAATGGCATGTTAAGTTGGCTTCTTTTATTGTAAAAGCGCACAAATTCAAGTTTGACTCTTATATCCCATTATAAATTGACATTTCATACAAAGGCAACCTAACGCTTGAATCCTTGTTCGTGGTCCACACTCTAAGAATTCGGAATGACAAATTAAATGCCTTTCGAAAAAAAACTCCTAATACCTATCAAACATGGGCAATCGGTAGGAAAATACCTAAAATGTACACTTTACATATGGGAAGAAGCTCTCAAAGTATGGACATTTCATATATCTTACGGGCCATGCTAAGTACATTTTTGTTTATAACTTTAGTTTGGATTGGCCGATGATTACCAAAATTTCAGAGAATATAAATTAAGGACTGTCGTATCTAAAAACGTAAAGAACTTCAAAACAGGCTAAGTCGACTTAGCATACTATGGTTCGGAGGCGTCGATATTAAAAAAACATTCTGCAAAGAAGTGTGTTTCTCCGGAATGACAAATTACAGCCCTTTCGATAGTAAAATCGGAGATCTTCAAAATACCTAGAATTTAGGGAGATCTTCAAAATACCTAGAATTTAGGGAGATCATTATATATGTTGAACATTTATTCGAATGTCAACTTACTTGTGCTTCAATTGGGAAATGCTTTCAGATTCTTTATATGGAGGCGAGGACATGACATGGACTTATGTATGGGTTGGAGACAAAAATCCATTATTTTTATATGAGCTATAGGCCTTTATTTAACATGCTTCGGAATGTCCGATCAGGGCCAAATATGCAATGTTTTGAGTTTTGTTGTATGATTTGTTGCCATTTTAAATGTAACATCATAATGTCTCTCTCATAGAGGTCCTGCTCTCTATTTGTAAAAAGCTCTAGTAGTCGATTTTCACAATGCTCCCTAGATACTAATTTTTATCATTAATGAAATTTTTGCAATGCAAAAAAAAAATATGCGAAATGTCACCCTTCCACGAGCATAAATCTGAAATTGTTCGATCGATACTTTACGAGAAATCTATCAATACAGCCATCTGGTGGATTTCTTTTTCCCCAACCCAATATAAAAATTTCTGTAAAGAAGTGCTTTGTACTAATAAGAACTCTCTATCGTGATTTCAACTCCACTTTATTGGGGAGTGTATTTAAAGTCGGTCGAGGTATTTTAATGGGGTCTATGCCAAAATATAATTAATTTGTTCACACATCCGATATTTAAATTAATAATTTTCTGTTAAGATTGTTGTCAACTTGAATTCGGACAGAAAATACAACTTACAAAATACCAAAAAAGGAACATTCATGAAGGTCACTCTTGGTCCAAAATGGCAGAGAACACTGGGTTATTGGAAATTCGTACCAGAACGAAAAGTACTAAATGTGAAACCATGTGTATTTGGCGAACAGGTAGAGCTAGAACTCTTAAATTTGAAATGAGGTTCACTGATGGAGTGTAGAATAGACATAGAAAAGGTTTTTTTTGGCATTCGAACTACAAGTATGCGAAAGTGCTAAAATGTTCTAAATTGGAGACAATTTCGTAGCATGCGAATTAGGGTTGAAATGTAGGGTGTATTTAAGGAGATGGTTTTGAAAGCGTGTACTCATGTGTACGAAAATTACTACGTGGTATTATATTTGGTACAAATTTAATTCGGGGTACAAATCAAGCTGGAATCCAGAAATTTAAAATTAGCATTACCATAGGATTGGGGTATGTGCGTAGTTTTGGAAATTTTTTACTTATATGTACGAAAAGTACTAAATTGTACTATAATAGGTACAATTTGGATTTGGGTGAACCGATAGAGCGGGAACAATGAAATTTGGAGTTTGGATCATTGTAGGGGTGTAGGATTAGCGTCAGGATTCAGTTTAACAAATTACTACTTATGGGTACTAAATGATACTAAATTTGGTACAATTTGAATTTTAGGTGAACCAATAGAGCTAGAATCATTTGGAATCAGGATCATTGTTAACGTGTAAGATTGAAATATGTAGGAAGTTTTAGAACTTGTACTAATGTGTACTAAATTTGGTACATTTTGAATTGTGGGTGAATCGATAACGTTGGAATCCTGAAACTTGGATTTAGGATCACTCACACACTCCAAGATTGTTTTTTTACACACTCTCTCCCTCTCTCTCTCTGACTAGAAACCAGCATTTAAAGTTTTATGAATTGCATTCATAAAATGCAGAAATCCCGACATTGGCAACACTTTCTGAACATTATTCATATAGTATACGAAATATTTTGTTCTATGTAAGAATGTTAAATTACAGTGAATTACATGGGACTATGTAAAAATATGGACCTGTATTGAAATTTTTCTGTAAAGAATATAAAGTAACAATACAATATCTAATAAAAATAGGTTTAAAATTTCCTTTGAGGTGGCCTCCCCCTTTTCGATTTTAAATTTTCACGATTGTTAATAGGCTGGTAAATTAATACCAATGCATGTTAAGGTTTGTAACTGTACACATATATAACTGAAGATTTAAAAGAGAAGAAAAATAATTTGCAAAATTTGGTTGTTGTTGTTTTTGGTGATTAAAGAAAAGTCCTTATTTTTAATGGCGGGCGTAATAACTCCTCTCTGGAACATCGGAATCCGGAAATTCCAAGAGTTTTAGAAATTAACAAAATAGCGGACCTTAAGTTAAAACATAAGAAAGTTCTTCACAAATTAGCTTTATCTTAGTTCATACGATAGCTCTACACTCCCAGCAAATTTGGTACCGATTGGATTATTAGTTGTTGAGTTATCGAGCCCGTCATTCGTAAAATTACTGTTTCGAGAAAAATACGTTTAAGTTTGAGAATCACTCTTGACGTTACTTGATGCTGACACAATAAATCGGCTCTATCTTTAAGAGTGCTTGAGATTTTCACTTGAAATTTTGTAGGGACATTCTTGAAAAATTGTAAATTAACTTTAACTTTATATGGATTCCGTCCAATATTTCAAGATGTAGCAATCGGAATAACAAATTTAATATACAACATATAAACGCAGAGCTATAGTGTTTATATGCCATTTTTTTAATTGCTAAAATAAAATATACGAATTTCTCTCCTCCTGAAGGCTGTATAAAAAAAGATGGCTGAAATGTAGTTCGTACTGTAATTTTCTATGTGATGTATATCTGTGTTATTCTGCAACATATATTTACGCACATACCCCTAAGGGTATCCAATGTGTATTGTCTTCGATCCCCAAAAACAAAATACCATTCATAAAAAAACCATAACAAATGATTTCGTTTTGTTTCTTTTGAAATGATGGGATGGAACATTGATGATAATGATGGTTTGGGGATGGATGTATTGAATGAATAGACGGATGGATGGGTTATAATCCACAAAGCTACATTGAAGCCATTAGTTAGCGGTTGGTATAAAAACAAATGCATTCCCAGTTTCAATTATTATTCAAATCACGTAGCTTCAAGTGTTAGGACAACAAAACCCATAGTAAAGTTTTGTCGGAATTTTAAGTCATCGATACCAGACCGAAAAAAATAATCCATTGGATAATCGATTTTTGTGCAAAAAAGTAACCTACAAACGTAACAATAACAACAACATTACTACAATGGCCTTCAAGGTAAGTGTCTACACGAAAATAAAGTGAACAAAAAATGTCGATTTTCGATTGACTGGCCAAGTGACTGAGTGATGTGTCTGTCAGATGGTATTTTGTATTTTTTTTGGGAATTGTGTTATTATTTTTGTGCGTATTGCTGTGTTTCGTTTTTTTATCAATGGTGTGCTTGCCTTCAATGAAAAGTGAAAAAAATTAAAAATCATTATTGAGACTTAACAAAATTAAAGAAAATAATGGCTTGTTTTTTTTTGCACATGGCAACAATGACGTCGAAATACATGGCTAATACATTATTGTTTGGTGTTGGCGATGTTTTGTCATGGTCTCAACAATGAACTTTGGCGGTTTTTGGGTGTGTGTGCTGTACGCTTTTGTTTTCTTTGCTATTGGCCTAAATTTTTGTTTAGCAAATGGCCAAAAAGTGCAATTCATTCGATCAATTAATTGGACAGTCCTTGTTTAAAAGGGAAACTGATTGCATTTCAGTGTCGATCGATTTGGCGAATGAGTAAGATGTTGTTCGCATCGTGACATTTTGCATCATCTTTTGAAGGTTTTTATTTTTTTAATGGGAAAAAAATCGCGAATTTATTCGAACAATATACTTTTAATTACGATGTGTAAGCCGGATGAAGTATAAATGCATGTATATCCTGGTCCTTTCAAGGCTGCCAGATTTAGCAGTGTGGACATGCAAATGTGAATTCGTGAGACTCGAACTCACAACTCCCTTTTAAATCTTAGTTTCGATTTTAAGGAAACAATGTTCGATTTCAATTTTATGTCGATTTAGCCATATTCGACCGAAGTGGTTCTTAGTTTTATATTTTGGGGGCCAAAAATATGGATTTATGTTCAGGTATAGTCCCGACATAATATGACCCATAATTTAAGTGCATTTGAGAACTTCAGATATGTTTTTAAACCGAGTAGAAAGATTAGAAGAATTCTTTCGACAAAAGTTCATAAATATCAGCCCAACTTTGGGTATACCTCCATATAAAGGCCACCTCTGTAGGAGCATTTTTCAACGCAATTAGAAATTGCAGGACTTTATCACAGAACCTTTTCAGAATAAACCCTCATACAAAGAACACGTGTAATTTTTGGTATATTTGAGATCCTGCCCTAATTTTCCAATTTCCGTCCGTTCGCCTGTCCGTATGTCCATTATAATCTGTAAAGACGATACAGGCCATAGTTATGGACCAATCAGCATCAAATGTTGCATGTATGACGTGTCCTGGCCAGAGAATACCCTTATTGGTTTTGATAATGATCGAATAATATTTAGGGTATGAAATGGACCAAAAACTTTGATCGCTTTAGAGGCCACAATTGGCCACAGAGAAAGGGGTCTGACCATACAATAACATGATTATTTTAATGAAGATCGGTCATAATTAGCGGGTCAAATGGATGGACCAAAACTTTGATCGCTCTAGAGGCCTTAATTGTGACCAAACATCACGATATTTTATACAGAGAAAGGGGTCTGACCATAGAATAACATGATTACTTTAATGAAGATCGGTCATAATTAGCAGGTCAAATGGATTTAGATTTAATGGATTTCAAATAGATTTAGCGCCGATGGCTAGAAAATTTTGCGTGAGGTCCCGGTTATAATTTTCGGCGATGATCAGGATATATCGTGGATAATTTGGACCGAAAACTTTGTGTTTCGTTTGGTTGAGTTTTTAATTTTTTTTTTTAATTGCTAGCACACTCTCAATTTTTTTCAAATATATCTTCAAGCGTTTTCAGATTCACCAGCTTAAATTTATTAAAAATATTTTTTCGAATGCGTAAAGATTTTAGAATATTGTTTTAAAATCCTGTGGGTTCATTAGCTTTATAGGGTTTATAAACTTGGATTTTTGGAACATATTTGTCAGAGATATTTTAAGAATATTTAAGCTATAATTTGGCATCTTGATTTCTCTTATTTCGACTATTTGTACAATTCCCTTCACACATGATTAGTACCATTTTTCAGACTATTTTTATTTATTTAATCATTTCATTTTCTTCTCTTTCACAGTTCGTTACAATTTTAGCTCTCTTCGCAGCTGCCGCTAATGCCGGTATTATTCCCGTTCAACAAAATGTCCAATACGAACACCCTGGCTATCATCAACAGGTTCCCAGTCAACAATTGGTAATACCTGAACATGGTGTCAACAGCCATGAACAATATCCCGATGATCCTCATCCAAAATATAATTTCGCCTACGAAGTTCAAGATGCCGTATCGGGTGATTCGAAGAGTCAAACTGAGACTCGAGATGGTGATGTTGTTCGCGGTGAATATTCGGTAATTGATGCTGATGGTTTCAAACGTACCGTAAAATATACCGCCGATGATGTAAATGGTTTCAATGCTGTTGTAACACGTGAACCCATTAGTGGACATGTAGAAACACATGTTGCTCAGCCCGCACCCTCATATGAAGTTCATTCTGCTTCAGCTCAATATCAACAAGCTCCATCAACTTCATATTTAGCTCCAGCTTTGCGTAAAACTCAAGTTCATTATACTCAACAACAACAACAACAAAACTATGAAACTCCCATTAATCATCATGCTCATCCAGAACAATTGCAAGAACAACAACACCACCAGCAGCAGCAACATCACCATCAATATGCCACCTATGAAAGTGAACAACATGATGGTTATTAAATAATGGATTTCAGATCTCATCTGTGAAAACTTATTCCAGAGATTTGCAGTTGAATCATAATTGTTATTTTCATTATTCAACATTAATTGTAGTGTAACCATTACTTTCATTACATCGATTTTCATGTTTTAGTTCCAATATCATCCATCTATGTGAATTAATAATTTTAGCTAAATAAATAATTTGTTATATAATTCAAATTCAGAGTAGATTTTTTGTTAATATATTTTCAATGACTGATTTTGAGAATATTTATACCCTACACAACTATGTTGTCAGGGTATTATAGCTTTGTGCAGCCCCAAAATTTATAACGCCGCGAAAAATTGGTCCTAGCCCCACCTTTTAGTATACCGATCATCATACCTCGACTAGCTGAATCGATCTAGACATGTGTGTCCGTCCGTCCGTCTGTCCATTATAATTTGTAAACACGATACAGGCCTCAGTTATGGACCAATCTTCACGAAATTTTGCATGTAGGATGGGTTCTGGCCAATGAAGACCCCTATTGTTTTTGGAAAAGATCAGTTAATATTTAGGGTATGAAATGGACCAAAAATTTTATTTTTGTCGGTTTTTCTGGTTTTTGCATGGAGAAGGGGATCGGGCCAGAGAATAAGCGTGAATGTTTTGATAAACATCGGTCAATTTTTAGCGGGTCAAATGGACCCTGACTTTTGCGTGAAAAGTAACAAAATTTGTTTTCTATAGCGTATAGATTTACTCCTGAAGGACCTAGACCCGAGAAGTTGACAACATATTCACGAGGAGTGGTTGGCCGTCAAATTGATACCAATTACTTTGTCGTATGTACTCGGATGTGGGAGTTACACTTAAATGTTTACAGGTACTTACGTAATCAGATACTATTTAGTAACCCATTACCACACTAGAGGTCGGAAATATAGCGCTGATCACTTTGAAATTTTCCATGAGGATCCAGATATGGTCAAGGACAACGCCTTTACTTTCGACGATGATCAGGTAATAATATTGGAATGAAGTGGACCGACAACTTATTTTTTTTTTTTGAGTCGACCTATTGGCCACAATTGAAAGCCGAACATTACAACACAATCCACGTTGAAGGGAATCTGGTCAAGTAATTAGAAAACCTATACTGAATATTAGTAATATTTGTTGACCTCTAGTCGGTCAAAATGGTGCAAATATCGCGAAATATTGCCCAAGCTCAGAACATAGAACAACAGAAAGTTAGATTTTCGTGGAAGTTGTGTAGGGTATGATATGGTCGGCCCGTCCGACTATACTGCTCCGCTCACTGGTTTTCTTATGTATTTAAGGTCTTTTTTATACCCTACACAACTATATAGCTTTGTGCACCCCCAAGAGTTTGCAACACCGTGGAATATTGGCCCTATACCCACTTTTAAGTATACCGATCTCGACCAGCTGAGTCGATCTAGACATGTCCGTTCGTCCGTCTGTCCATTATAATTTGTAAACACGATACAGGCCACAGTTATGGACCAATCTTCACGAAATTTTGCATGTAAGATGGGTTCTGGCCAATGAAGACCCCTATTGTTTTTGGCAAAGATTGGTTGATATTTAGGGCATGACATGGACCAAATACTTAATTTTTATCGGTATTTTCTGGTCGCTCTAGAGGCCGCAATCATGGTCCTTCTCCACGAAATTTTACGTGGAGAAAGGAATCGGACCAAAGAATAAGTATGCCTGTTTTCATAAAGATCGGTCAATATTTTGCGAGATAAATGGACCCCTACTTTTGCGTGAAAAATTACAAAATTTGTATTCTATGGCGTATATGTTTACTCTTGAAGGACATAGACCCGAGAAGTTGATAATATATCCAAGAGGAGTAGTTGTACATTGCTTACGTATTGATATAGTATTCAGTAACCCAATACCACACTAGAGGGCAGAAATATAGCGCTGATCGCTTTTAAATTTTTAATGAGGATCCAGGTATGGTCAACTACAACGGCTATAATTTTCGGTGATGATCAGATAATAATTTTGGGATGAATTAGACCGAAAATTATTTTTTTGTGTATTTTCGAGTCGATCTATAGGCCGCAATTGAATGCCGAACATCACAACCCAACACACCGTGAAGGGAATCTGTACTGTATATTAGTTATATTTATTGACCTCTAGTAGGTCAGGAGGGTGCAAATATCGCGAAACATTGCCAAGATCAGAATATAGAACCCCAGAATGTTAGATTTTCGTGTTTAAGAATATTTTTACAGGGACTTATTGACGATGAATTTTATAAAAATATTTTCCAAAGGTTAATTATATGTTAAATTTGTGGTTCCGTTTGCAACCCCTCGAAATATTCACCGGCAAATCTATAAAGTATATCTGGAAAAATCGATGTCTGTGTCTGTCTGTTAATATTTCGATAGACCTAGAAATACATATATATTTGATAATAAAAATGGAATTTAGGGGTTCTTATTTAGTTCAGTCCCATACACCCTCTAAATTTGGTATTTTCGGTTCTTATGGGGTAGCAATGTGAATGTGCTCACCGTAGCTTCTTTCCAATTGGATTCCAAAGACGAAAATTTGGTGAGTAAATTTTTTTAAAAACCCTATTTTTGAGTCTAAATTTAAGAAGGTCCACTTAAATGCCGTTGAACCCCGCGTGATTTTAGTTTTTTACGTGCCGAATTTAATGAGCCCACCCATGTTCAATTCCGCCCAATAACACGGCGGATATATTTACCTTGAATGTAGGAAAAACTGCACAAAATTATTTTGACTAATTCGCGTATATAATTTCTTGGAATTGATTTTACATAGATTCATGCTTGTATTATCATATTCGCGAATCTGTGTGAAAATAGGTCATAAATACATTGATACGCGAATAATATGCGTATTTAATCCAAAATTGGTTGTGGTGGCACAACCAATTCTATTAAAATATATGTACTTTTGCGTATTTTCATTGATGCGCATAAAATGCGCATAAAAATCTTATGCACGTTGCGTAAATGTTTAGCCACTTTTACGGTTTTTGCATAGTAAAGTGCATCGAGCGGCACACATTGGTCGCTAAATGAAACATCGAGAAATTTATAATTATTGGAAGAGATTGATTCGGTTTATACGAAAATCGCATGCGCTACAAAAACAAAAATATTTCAATGTGATTTGACAAGTATACAAAGAAAACAAATGTTTTTATCCATTTGTGAAGAAATTCGCTAATTACAACAAGTAGGAATTCGTTTAATTTATATTTGAAATACAAGATTTAAAATCGCTATAACTTTTGTGCTCAGCATCCGAATTTGTGAACGCGAACAGATTTAGAATCAGCATATTTTTCTTAACCTATGTACCAAAAATCATGAATGTGCTCGCAAAAACAATAAAATTTTTTTAATGAAATTTTAAAAGAATTTTGTAATTTCCCATACATACATACATATGTATTTTGAATATTTATCTGAAGACGAAGTTTATGAAAAGTTCGGATATAATCGCCCGCCTTAGGTTTTTTGCTTACAGGTTTCTACTCTCCCAAAATCAAAAAATAGCAATCCGTGGAATACATTTTCAAAGAGTTTGCAACAGCGATATGTAATATTTGGTGTTTTTACCTATAAAATAAAAAAAATAAATAAAAACAATGATAATAATTGAGGCAGCTATTTATTGTTTGATTTT